GTTTATGTGGATTGTGTTTGCTCCTTGTCCCAATTCTACAACTCAAATCCCTAAGATGAACTCCTTAGGGAAATGAAGGAGCAAATGACCTGTGATGGTGGTCAGTGCCCTGCTTCTGTCCTAACAAGCCCAATTACTAGCTGGCTTGATTAGTAGCATGCAGATGTTTTAGCCTGCTCCTGGATTTAACAGGAAGTAAACACAGCAGGGAAAGCTACATCATTCATTATTTTAAGAAAAAGATAACCCCTCCCATCTTTCAGAGTTTTTGGGATGGGGTAGTTGGAGATACATTAGAAATGGAGAGCTGCAGAATGTCTTCACTGAATGAGGCAGCCATTTGCATAACCTAGCAGGCCTGTGGGACTTTCCCTGAGGCTTGCTGGTTGGCCTTCCATAGACAGGCTTTTTGGAAGCCATTTCTACTTTCTGCAAAGCCAAGAAAGATAAACAACAGACTCAGAAATCTCCAGAGAAACTGGTTTAAATAAGGATAACACCTATGGCCTTCCTACTGATTCCATCTCCAAGGCTTCAAAACACTGATGATGCTTTTGTCTGCTTCATACAGAATGGAACTCTGAAAATCATTGACCGCAAGAAGAATATTTTCAAGTTGGCACAAGGAGAATACATTGCTCCAGAGAAGATAGAAAATGTTTATACCAGAAGCAGACCAGTATTGCAAGTTTTTGTCCATGGGGAGAGCTTACGGGTAACACACCAGTTTCAGGGATGGCCTATGTTGGTTCTCATAGCCATAAGACACTTGTGAAGGTGGGCTCAGATAAGATACTCCAGCTTACAAAACTAACTATAAAACTACATTCTTAATCATAAACATGCAGGGAATCATTTGTTGAAGTTATTGACACACTATTTAAAGGAAGTAGCTTTGATTTCACATGACTGTGCTTGGGACTCTTCACATCCATTCTGAGTAGCTTCCCTGACCCCAAACTGTCCTTTAGGGGGTTGGGTATGGCGAATTTCAACATGGATCAGATAGGGATTCTTTAAGCTTAGTGACAACTGCTGCTTTTTGAGGAATCAGGTTTGGATAGGACACCTTTGCAGTAAGTGCTGAGTGGGTCACTGTATGGTGAGGAAAACTTAGTACCAAATCAGTCTGGAGGTCTGATCTATTAAAACAACCTGCTTACTCCCCACAGTCGTTCCTGATAGGAGTGGTGGTTCCTGACCCAGATTCGCTTCCCTCATTTGCAGCCAAGATTGGGGTAAAGGGATCCTTTGAAGAACTGTGCCAAAACCAAGTAAGCATGGCTCATAAAGTTCCCCAACTAAGCATGGCCAGAAACATTGCATGTGTCCTCATGGCCTGCTGTGGCAGAGGAGGCCCTTCCAGCTGTGGCATCTCTGGGTTTTCTGAACCTCCTCTATGCAGGGACACTATTCCTGCACCTGTGATTGGTAACTGAACCCTAAATGGACTTACTAGTTTTATTAGACTGAAAAATAGAATTTAGAGTTTAAAACACAAAATCCTGGCTTTTTAAAAGCAGTAATATGCTGCTTGTGAGAGCAAATGGAAGAGAACAAAAAAAAAAAAAAAAAGCCTTTTACACAGAACCTGTAAGCTTTGGGTTTACCTTTCCTTTTCCTTGTTTCCTTTGGTAAATGCAAAGTAAATAATATGCTTCAATATCCTTTTTGTATCTCAATTTTATTCAAATCTTTTAGGCATTTTGAGCTGGTTCTTGCATGGCTTCCCTTCTCAGACACACATGGTTTAAATGATGTTTTGTGTTTTAGCGTGTAAAGGAAGCCATTTTGGAAGACTTGCAGAAAATTGGGAAGGAAGGTGGCCTGAAATCCTTTGAGCAGGTCTGTACTGCTGATGTCATCCTGGTCCCTCAAATACCACTAGTTTTATTTAAAGCTCCCACCTATACTGGTTTCAAAACATTAACTTCCAAGGAACTAATTTTAGATTTACCAAACAATGGCACACAGCTTATAGTTAGTTATGCATTTCACCCACTCTGCTGTCCATTATTCATTCTTTTTACTTTGTTTATGCAAATGTCAAGTACAGCTCAGTTGGTAGAGTGCTTGCCCAGCATGCATGGGTTCAATCAATCTCCAGGGTCACATAAACCGGATGTGGTGGGACACACCTGTAATCTCAGCTCTGGGCAGGTGGTGTGGGGGAGGAGGATCGGAAGTTCAAGATCAGGCCTAGCTATCTAGCAAGTTTGAGGTCAGCCTGGGCTACAGAAGACCTTCTCAGAATGGACATGGGTCTGTGTCTTTACAGTCCCACTGTATCAGCTTTTTTCATGAGGTGACATGAACTATGCAGTTTATCATTCTGCAGACAAGATGCCAACAGTCAAGTCAACATGTGCTCACCTTCCAGGTCAAAAGCATCTTTGTTCACCCAGAGCCATTCTCCATAGAAAATGGGCTTTTGACACCGACACTGAAAGCAAAACGAGTGGAGCTCGCCAAATTCTTCCAGATCCAAATCAAGAACCTTTATGAGAGTATCCATGAGTAGGGTAAGGTACTTTCTGCTGAGGGGTTCCAAGAAGCCTGCTTACCTACCATGTGCTGCCTTGTCAAAGCATGGATTAAAAACCACCCCTCTTGTCTTTTCCTCATACCTGTTATCTACTGAACTGTCAAACAGTAGGTACTTACAAAGTGAGACTCTGACCCAGAAGAAAAGCCCACTTCTCCCAGCTTAGACTTGGCTAACATTTTTGAACTTAGGGCTACTTTCTCAACATGCTGTTCTTCAGGGTCTCAGTTTGTGTTCAGTGCCACTTCCTCATGATTGTCATGCCAGTGTCATTTTGATTACTGATCACTAGTTCTAGGGTTAGGGGGATTCCCTAGGTAGGTGCCCTTTGGTTTATAAAAACCCCCAATTGCTGGCTGCTCGGCACTTCCTGAGGCCTCCAATACAGTGGTACCTTCTCAAGCTTCCTAACATTGTGTACACTTTCTCAGGCTGAGGTGAGCCCCAACCACTATTTCGTTGCTACTTCATAACTGTTATATTAATGCTATGAATCATAATGTAAAAAAATTCTGGTATGTAGGATATCTGATATGTGACCCCAAAGGGGTCATGAACCACAAGTTGGGAATCACTGTTCTAACGGATTAAGAGATTTTAAAGTTATAATTCATGTTTTTCAGTTATTCCAAGAAACCACTAATTTGAGTTTTAACCTGTCACCCTTAGTAGGTGTCATATTTATGAGAGAAACGACATACTTGTGTGTACACCAGTTTATTAATTGAAGGAACAAGCTCAAGTGTGACAAAGCATTGCTTAAGTTCTCTAGTTAGACTTTTGAGTTGGAAATACTGAAACATAGCAGATAATGTGTCACAAGAGAATGTTGCTCTAAAGGGTTGTCTGCAGTGGCAGTTTTTGACACTGTCTGTTCCCTACAGTTTGCTGAACTAGCTGTGGGGAAGAAATGGAAACTTCTGTCCAGTGAACTTTTTTCAGTCAATGAAGCAAGCACTGAACTACTCTCCCACACCGGGAACAAAGCTCTGTGGGCAAGCATGATGCCTGCACTGCAGGCCTGTCTTCTGGGAGGGAAGTTCTGGATCTTTCTCCCTGGACTCCAGTCCCTGCAGTATCTTACTGCCAGATAGCATGTGGTGCCTCTACTTGTAAATGTCAAATCTTTGAAATAAACTATTACAGATATTTATTTTGTGCCTGCTGTCTTGTGGTCTGTGATGCAGAATCATGTAGAAGAATCATGTAGAAAACTCAGGTGGTTTTTTAAAATTTTGGTTGTACACTAGAATTATTTGATTTGAAAATGATGACTAGACATTTCTCTGGGGTCCCTGAGTTATATCACCTTTTAGCTAGGTGTGGTGACACATACCCACAACCACAAATTCAGGAAGCTAAGGCAAGAGTGCTGCCTTGGTGCAGGTCTCGGGCTAGTTTGGGTTACATATTGAGAATCTGTCTCAACATTAAATGAACACTGCCTGGGATTGTTACTAGGTCCTTGGACAATTGTAGCATCCAACAAACTTGGGGAATTTACTGGGGTATGCTGACAGACCATCTTCTTTTACCCTATATACAGTACTGAGCGACAAACCTTTAAGGCAGGACCCCTCTGTTAAGCATGTTCACATTTTTTCCTTCACCTCCTTTTCTTTTAGATAGGGTCTCACTATATCCCTGACTGGCCTGGAGCTTTCTACATAGACCCACCAGCTGAAATTAAAGACGTGTGGCACCAGGCCTGGCTGTTGTACAAAAATATTCATAGTTTTCCATACCCTGAGCTCAGCAAAGCTGAACCAATGTCTGTATCTGACACAAAGAAAGGTAGGGCAGGACTATCTTTTAGGTCGCTTGGTGGTATAGTACCCTCTCACCTCTGACTTCCCTTTCGATATGCTTGTCACTCCAGATGACCTCAATGGCTGCTTCTCTGGTCTTCAAACATGCCAGGCATACCAAAGCATGTGTGCTTGCTGTTTCTGGCTAAAACAGACACTTCCCACAGGTACACGACTTTTCTCCTTATTGTCAACTCCAGACCCACGGTAAAGCCATGCTTACCTCACTTCTGAGTCCCCAAGTGCCTACTCTTATCTACTAGAGGCCTGGTGGCCTAGAAACCTGAAGTTCCCTGAACGTAAGAATTAAGGAATGCTTGATAAGTTTATGTAAGTCCAGGGAAGCTGACTTTTTCCTGTAGCTCTACTTACCTGTTTAAGCAAGCTCACCTTTAAGCTTAGATCCTACTATTTGCACAAGCTTCAGGTTTTGATATTAAATGTAAGCAGTGTCTAGTGATTTTCACTAGAGGTAAAGCAGTAAAGTCTACCTACCAATAACAGGGCTCATACACTGAACTGAGTATGTCATGTCTTAAGACTCATTTTCTAGATGCCAAGTCTGTACATGGTTAACAGGGCAGTGTTTTCATAAGGATATAAGATAAACCTTTTTACTCAGAGAAAAACAACAAAAGAAACAAAAATACTTTCAGGTAAAACTATAATTTCTACACAACATCCATTGACTTTTATTGGATTTGACAAAATCTGCATTATTAAAAGTAACAAAATTTGAATTTATATTGAATCTGACAAGTTGTATAGTCTCTAGAATCTTGTGAAAGAAATGTCAACTGAGGAAGAAACAGAATAACCACATGCAGATGCTCCTGGCCAAGGGGAACTAGACCTGCAGGTGAAGTCAGGTGTGCAGCACACAGGAATCCTACAGAAAGTACAATTTGCTCAGTTGGCTGGAACAGCTTTCCTTCAGTAGGAAGAAATGGAAAGAGGTCAGGAATTCAGAGGCATATGCAGAATGGCTTCCGTTTCAAAATGGCAAGAAAAATATTTAAATTATGGCACTAAGGCATCTTTGAGGAAAAGAATACCTTAAGCAGAGTAGCTCGTTGCATAATTCTTAGGTAATATGTGTGAATTTTCAAGTAATGAAGACTTAATGGCCTCACTTTAACAGTGGCTATCTGGTCTTCTTCTCGCCTTCTGGGGCTGGTTCTGATTCGCCATCACAGGGACACTTTTCCACACAGTTTCTAGGAAACCACCCTCTTATTCTTGATGTACCTGAGGGAGAAAGTGACGCTACAGTGAAACAGGCAGGCAGGACCAGTTGACATTACTTGGAGCAAGTTCTACTGCTTCAAATGAAGAAAAGCTTAGATAGACTGTTGTTCCTTCATTAGTTTTCAACACAGGTCAGGGGAAAACATGGTTTCCAAATGTTTCTACCAAGCTAGAAAATACATACTTGTCCAATCGCCTCAACTGGGAAAGGAGCAAGTGTGGTTTAGATGGTGCATGACTGGAGCTGGAATTACTTGATATAGGTGATTCTATCATACCATTTCAGGATGTTCCAAGAATGACCTTACCGAAGCCTTTTTCCATTTCCTTAACTCTTTTTCTTCTTGATTTTTGAGAGAGTTTTGAACCTTTGCTACTCCTGAGTACTGGGATTACAGTCATGTAGTCCCAGGATATGAATTTCTATACCAAAATTACCTAAGCTGTCAC